TGGTGGTGGTGGTGGTGGTGGTGGTGGTGGTGGTGGTGGTGGTGGTGGTGATTAGACTCAGATGAGCTCCAGCAAACTTCTGCATCTTATCCTAAACAAGCCTTCAGCTATGATATTACCATTCAGAACATGGTTTTGCAAGCTATATCACACTTTACCATAGGAATGACTCTTCAGTGTACTGTGTATAGTTATACTTAGGAAGTACTTCAGAAGGTGGGGTTTGCCAGTCTCACATTCAGATGTATCTTACTTTTCCCTTCATACTGTGACTGATTCCTGTTAGCCCCTCAGTTATATCCTAGGATCCTTCTCCATCACTACCACCTGGGACTTTACCCTGCTGGTTTCTTTGAAGCCCTGTGGGCCTTACATGGCTATTTCCAGGAGCATGGAAATGTCACACTAGGCTTCCCTAGGGTCCTGTTTCCTCCGCTCTGTACTTCAACTCATTCCTTGCATGAAGGCCAACTGAGCCCCTTTCTCTGTCACTTGCTCCTGCTCTAATCCTAACTGTGCCTTCCTTCCTGCATGCACATCTTCTATTCAGCAGCTAGAATGGTCCTGGTGGGTCTGACTTTGTCTGTGGTCCACTTGTAACTGTTGCCTAAGGTTCCCAGCCTTGAATAGTCCAAACACAGTGAGCCAGTCCTGTCTACAGAAAGTGTTGCTTCCACTGTCCTTTGTCTATAGTACATGCCCTGGTGATTCTGAGGATTGTCCTAAATTTCTACATCATCTTGTTATGCTAGAACAGGTGATAGTCTTTTTACTTTTTTGGACACTAAGGCAACCCAGAGAGCCATCCTGGAGAGTCTGGGCAAGGGTTGTGTGGCTGCACTGGGGTTGTCAAGCAACCTTTTAGGAGGTGACACATGAAGTTCTCCTGAACACAGTCAAACTTTATGAAACACTTGGATTCCTTCCATAAGATTTCTACACCTCTGGAAGCTTTTCAAGAATTTTCTGCCAAAAGTCTTAGCCAGACTTACAGAACCATGGGCCCTGTCCCGACCTCTTAAAGAGGAAGGGACTTGGAAATGCTGACACTCTTCTGGCTTGCTGCTGCCTGTCCTGATGGAATAGGGCAGCTCTATTAGGACAGTTTTCATCTCAAGAAAGGTGCAACCATGTCTGTGTACCCCAGGTGATCCTGGAACTCACTATATAGTCCAGGCTGGCCTTGAACTCACAGAGATCCTCCTGCCTACCAAATGCTAAAACTAAAGGGTGGGTGACTGTTGCTGGTATGGCGCCTGTTCTTGTTTGTCAACTGGGAGACAGTTGCTCAGCCTGTTGAGAGCAAGACAGTTAGTACATACCACTTCACCTGTATTGGATGTGGCAGGTATGGGCTGCTTTGTACAAATAACCATGTTCAAAGAAAGCAAGACATGAAGGAGCCCTGCAGGAATTTAGGTTGGCCTTTGCAGAGCCCTGACTCACCTGATGTCACACATGCACTGGGAATAGAAGGAACATGGTATAATGATCCCTTTCTGCTGTCTCCCCTGTGGTGGTAGGTGGTTGATGCTTCCAAAAGCATTGAGGATGTCCATGAAGAAATCCGTGCGCTCTCTGAGGATGCTATCCGAAATGCTGCACAGAGGCCACTGGAGGAGCTATGGAAATAAATCGGAGCTTCCATTGCCAGTACTATTCTGTTTCTTCAGGAGACTGGTAGAAGGCTCACATCTCAACACTATTCAGCAGGAGCTAGTTCTTGGCAGAAGAAATCTACAAGACTCTGCCCATAAACTGAGATTTTGGTGATAATGGACAAGTTGTACAGTGTCTCCCTCTGCCTACTGCTTGGTTGTAAGGTGCTAATTAATGTGTTGCTGTTTCCATACTGAACTTTAATGGCAACTATCACCAGTTTCCTTGAGATTATTAAAATCATCAATTGGTTGAAACTCATATATTTTACAGAAACTAGTAAAAATTTACCTAAAAATGTACTTCACCAACTTCCCTAAAAATCTGAAGATAGGTCTGGCCACTATTCATGTTCTTTACACTGTGGGTTTGATCAGTTTTATTAGGCCCCATGTTCTAAGTCTGTGTTCTCTTATCTAGTGTATCCAGCTTATCTACTGCCACAGTGCTCATAATTCTAAGCCCAGGAATAATGACCCTGTTGGTTCTGCTAGTGCTGCTGGAGCTTTTCACACTACCTCCTCCAAAATAGAATGGTAGAGTGTAGCCCTCCGTGTAATGTACTGAATGTGAAGTGAACCACATTCCCCTCGCTATGGAAAGAACATGGGCTAGGTGGATATAAACAGCATGAGACAACAGTACCTCCATGCTGTGCATTACCCTGGGCATGGTGGTACACACCTTTAATCCCAGAACTCAGGAAGTGGAGGCAGAGCTACATAGTGAGACACTGTCCCAAAAAAAAAAAAAAGAGTAGGGGATTGGCCAGGCAGGTTACTACAGTCCAAAGTCAGGAGACGCAGAGCACTCGCAGGCCGGAGGGAGCAATGGAAAATTAGCTCTGTCCATAGCTTAGTATATACACTTCTGCCCTTCAGGACCATAACAAGTTTCAGCTGTGGGTAAATGTGCTGTGTCATAGCAGCCATAGGAAGCCTTCGCCTTGGGCCATTATACTTGAGTTAGCAATTTTCCTTTATTTGAACTCAAGAGGGCAGGCAGACATCATCTAGGGTGGTCCCACTGAGATTTCAGGTAGGATGAGATAGTCCTCAAAATCTACTTGTCCCCTATGCCAAGGCCAGGAACAGCTTACCTGGAGGGACCCTGAGGCAAGCTTTGTATTTGGGTGCTTTTCAACACTTTGTCCAAGTGAAGACCTACTGGCTCATTTTACTACTTCTGTTTCTATGTATGTACCCCCCAAGGCCTGAGGCATTAGATCTTTTGGAGCTTGGGTTGTAAGCTGCCCAGTATGGGAACTGAACTCTAGTCCTCTGGAAGAACAGTTAAAATTCTTAACTGCTGAACCATTTCTCCAACCCCTGGCTTGAGAGAGGGTTTCTTTGTGCAACCCTGCTGTCATGGTACTTGCTCTTGACCAGGTTAGCCTGGCTGCCTCTGCCTCCTGAGTGCTGGCATTGAAGTATGCTGGGATCACCTGGTTCATTTTTCTATCAGGTTCTCCTTGCACTTTTTCTTTGTTAGGACCACGTATTTACTTACTATGAGGGAAACAGACATTTGCTACACAGCTAGGCCAGGAGCAGGGCAGGCTCTGCTTATCCAACTTCTGGAGATCTTCACCTATCAACACTGAAATCATAGCTAATCATAACTGGAGGAAAAAATCAACACACACAGACTTTGTTTTCTACTGAAACTTATTATTTAACATTAAGAATTGCAAACTACACTATATGAACCTCACTCAGGAAGCCTTTCTCGAGCCCTGAGAGTTCCCTCAGGTTGGAGTGTCCCATATGTCCACACTTGCTACCAACAGCAGGAGACCCTGGGTGACAGCAGCACAATGGCTCCTGGACTCAGGAAATAAGCTCCAAAGGACTGGAAACTGTCCTGGCCTCCCCCCTGTCCCACCCCATCTGAAATCAAGGGACAAGATGTGGGAGAGAGAAAGAGTAAGATGAAATAAATATGTCATCAACACTTGATAAGCAGGCATCTCTCGATACCTTGTGGGCTACTTAAGAGCTGCTATCTCTGGAGCAGCCCCAGCCTCACCCATCTACAGGTTCCTGGGAAGGGTTTTCAAAGGCTCTTGCATGGGCCTCCCCACACTGCCACACCCTGGTCAAATCTAGGGGGAGGAAAGGTGTTTTTCTAAGACAGCAGACCTAGAGCATCAAAAGCTTGAAGGCCCAGAAAGCCAGGGTTGGAAATGAGTGTCAAGAAGGTCTGAGTTCTTCACTTGCGAGGGCCTGGAGCTACCTGCTCTGTCTAAATGTCTATTATGCACCAAAAAGCTGTAGTACTTTTACCCTTTTGGCCCCAAACCATCTACAGTTTCCTGTGACACGGGTGGGTTTCTGAGAAGGGAAAGAACATGGAGGAGGGCTCAAGTAGCAGTGTGTACACTATTACCAGTGGGCACTGAGTCACAAGCAAAGAACAGTTCTGCTCCCTCCCTGTCCTCCTAGAGGGAAGCCGGGTGGCAAGCTAACAGCAGCAGGCGGTGTCACGAAACGCATCAACCCATCTAGGAAACCTCTCTCTTCCCTAGTGTGCTCCTAAGGGGAGCCTCAAGACCACAGCTCCACAAGCTCTAGGAACCTGTCAGCTGCTCCAAGGTTCAGGTGTCCATACTGTGCCCGTGCACACTGGTATCTTTGGATTTTCCAAGTGCTCCACAAGAATACTTTCTCTCCAAAGCAAGTAGCAGCCTTGCTGGGATTCTCTCCATATGCTTTCCCACTGAGGTAGCCCTTGATAAATCACACTGGGCAGAGGAGACAACACAAAAGCTCACCCTGCCCAGCAGTATGAGGCCATGATGTGGCTGTCACTCTGTACACGCCAACCTGCAGATCTTCTAAGACTGACCTGGGAAGTGCCCCAGAAATTCATGTCTTTGTTAAACAACTTCAAACAGGGCTTTAATTCCAAATAAACCACAGACCCAGATGCCCAGGAGGAAGCAGAACCAAAGCTGATGTGCTGACCAGGGCTGGCAGTGTCAAGTGGAAAATTCTGGAAGCTCCTGACCCACTGCTCTTCCTGACTAGGCCTTCTGATGAGCAACTTAGTGTGAACAGACCCTTTGTGTGTTTGGGTTTAGGCAGTCTGACTCCAAGCAGTAAGGCCTCCAGGAACCACAGTCCTTGGTCCATGAGCAGAGCAGGCCCTTGGGACAGAGGTGGCACAGGCGAACAGCACTCGGCAGGGGTGGGCTGGGTGGATGGAATGCGGTGACACTGAGTGCCCAAGGCAGGTCTGGGTTCTCAAAGCACCCCAACGAGGACCATGGAGGCATCACCCAACCCCAGGATTTTCAGAGGGATAAGATTTCAAAGTCTTCATCCTCAGAGTCAAAGAACCTCTCCAGTCTCTCTACATCTGAAGAATCTAGAAGGAAAAAGATAAAAGCTTGCTCATCTCTCAGAAGCTGGTATGAATGTGGGCCAGGAAGATGTTGGGAGAGGAGACAGACTAGAATAAGCTTGCTATGGCCTATAAGTCCCTTCTTCTGAGAGAGACTTGTGCACAGTGGGAAGATGCTTCTTTGTCCTCCTCACCTGCCTAAAGCACCTTCTGATTGGTTTAATAAAGAGCTAAACAGCCAATGGCTAGGCAGGAGAGGACAGGCAGGACATCCTCTGGGCAGAGAGAGGAACTCTGGGACACAGGCTTGGGAGGAAGAAGTAACTAACCAGCCATGTGGCAGATTAGGATAAATGGGAAAATGAGTTACAAGCTAGTTGGGGAGCAAGCATAAGCTAAGGCCAAAAGCACTGTAAATAAATATAAGCCTTGGAGGCTGGAAAGATGGCTCAGGGGTTAAGAGAACTGGCTGTTCTTCCAGATGTCCTGAGTTCAATTCCCACCAACCACGTGGTGGCTCACAACCATCTATAATGGGATCCAATGCTCTCTTTTGGCAGACAGGTGTACATGCAGATAGAGCACTCATACATTTAATAAATCTTTTTTTAAAAAATTAAAAATAAATAAGTAAATAAATCCTCTACGTCATTATTCGGAAACTGAGACATAGAAAGGGCATAGAAAGACCCACAGTTACATCCTTCCTGACTAAAGAGATTTTTTTTTTTTTTTAGTTTTTATTTTATTTATTTACATTTCAGATGTCATCCCCTTTCCCCATTTCCCCTCCCTAGAAAACTCCTATCCCATCCCCCCCTCCTCCTTTTTGCTTTTATACCATTTTAATTACATGCAAGTATTCAGGTCAGTTCTAGGTTGAGGAACTAGCAATACAATAGATGCAAATAGTCAAGGAACAAGCAAGACAATAAACGTAAATAGTCAAAGAACAAGCAAGGCAATAAACACAAATAGTCAAAGAACAAGCTAGGCAATAAACAAAGTTCCCTGAACACTCTCATGATCACAGTTTCTAAGGGCTTATCAGGATGACCAAAGTATCTAAGCCAACTTCCCTGTCCTAGGCCAAAGTCATTTTCATGTCTGAAGCTTACTTCCTTGTTCTAGCCTAAGATTTAGATTCCTGCCTGAAATTACTTCTTTGTTCTAGCCTAATGTCAGATTCCTGCCTGAAGTCTACTTCCTTGTCCTTGACTAGAGAGTCTTTTTGTTTTGTTTTGTTTTGTTTTTCGAGACAGAGTTTCTCTGTGTAGCCCTGGCTGTCCTGGAGCTCACTCTGTAGACCAGGCTAGCCTTGAACTCTTGAACTCAGAAATCCGCCTGCCTCTGCCTCCCAAGTGCTGGGATTAAAGGCGTGCGCCACCACCACCCGGCTGACTAGAGAGTCTTAAACAGGGCATGTAGGACTCATGAGCAAGTGATAACGCCCTAAAGAGGGATGGGAACTCCGTAAGAGAAGAGAACAACACCTGAGTCCTGCAAGCAGACAAGCAATGGGACCTGGTACCAGCCCCAGGGACGAAGGCAAGATAAAGACAGTGGGATGACCAGGTCTCACCAGTCCTCCATCCAGTGTCTCCCAAGGCCAGTCGGTCGTGCTGGCCTACAGGGCCAGGACTGACCCCTGCAGGCACACCAGGCTTCATCATCACAAAACCTGTTGTGCCCTGTCACTACAGTACCCAAGGAACATGTATCCTTCCCACAGCACCCTGGGCAGAACATGGACAGGGGGCTATCCCATCCAGACTTGGTTCTACAGCCCCAGCACTCACCTAGGGACAGGTTCAGGACATCCTGGCAGGCCAGATGGGAAGGCTGCTGTTCCACCAACTCAAACATGGGAAGGGCACCTCCAAGCTGGGATAGCTGTCAAGGAGATCCGATTGTTAGAAGCCGTTCACCAGTCACCATAGCCTCCAGCCTGCAGAGGTCTAATCTCACTTCACAGATAAGAAAGTGGAGGTGGTGTCCTTACTAAAGGCTACAGCACAGCCAACACAGTGATCAACGGAGCACGGACCTACCCAACGAGGAAGACCGCAGAGGGCACAGGGAGGACAGCAGGAGGCGACCAGCACAGGGGCAGCCTCTGGCATTCAATTTATGACCACCCCATAAGCACATGAGGCAAGTGAATGGGCCAAAACCCCACCCCATCATAAACTTAATGGGCAAAGCATATATAAAAAATCACCAATCTTGACCTACACACAGCCAGTAGAAACAGCAATGCAAGGCACCCTGCCCTGTTCAGCCTGCCCACATGTGTGAGGCAGGAACAAAACTCCCCATGCAACCAGTAAGGGGGTTCCTTGCTAGGCCATGCACAGAGGCTCCCTTTACCCCAGCCACCTCATTGCCTGGGTCCCCAGAAGTTTCATCTTGGCTCTGGCCAGGGGCAGCTACAGACCTTTTTGACTTGCTGACACCAGTCGTTAAAGTCTTCCTCGGTCTTACAGAAAAATCCCTAAAATGAAAATGATCGTGATCGTGGTGACTACATCTGTAGTTAGCACAAGGCTGTGATCTTTTCTCTTCAGATACCCTGGCATGTACCAGCCAAGACACACCAGGCAGTCTCCTCTGCCCACGCTTTGTTCACACATTCAGACACTGCCCAATGATGGAAGGCCTATCCGGTGGTGACAGGGAGAGTGATTCTACCATGTGTTCCCTTTGACCTCATCTCTCAAAAGCTAGGACTGGGGCTCGAACTTCACACTCTCTACACCTGCTAGTCATACATGTCTAGCAAACTGTCTAAAGCTTCTGTTTGGCATTAGTACCCTAAGTTCCAGTCACTGTTACGTACACTCACTCTACTTAGAAGAGGAAATGCAGTCACTGTAAGGTACACTCACTCTACTTAGATGAGGAGTTTGTCAGTGAGCTCTGCAGGAAGTCTGAGCCACAGAATCCCAGATTACCCTCCTTAGAATGTGGTAGTGTGTACTGAAGTAATGTCTGGGTGACTGGTACAGAGTGGTACTAGACAGGCTGCACTCTACCAGTGACCCACGCAATGGCAGCCTGACTAGCCAATGACTTCCGAGATATGGCACTGTTTGGACGTTTTTGGTTTTTTATTTCCTTTCCTCTAAACACATTTTGAATAGGCAGGTTTGGCCGGGCGGTGGTGGCGCACGCCTTTAATCCCAGCACTTGGGAGGCAGAGGCAGGCAGATTTCTGAGTTTGAGAGTTCGAGGCTAGCCTGGTCTACAGAGTGAGTTCCAGGACAGCCAGGGCTACACAGAGAAACCCTGTCTCGAAAAACCAAAAAAAAAAAAAATAATAATAATAATAATAAAAATAAAAAAAGACTAGGCAGGTTTGCACAAACCATCAACAATCCCTACTGTATCATCAAAAGAGAGAGATGGAGAAGCTCAGTCAGAAGAATCATCTTCAAGCTACACTAAGTAAACAACGAAACAATGAGAAAACTAAGAGGAAAAGCAGTACACTCAGGTGACTGTCATTCTAGAATGACAGATTCAAACTGTCAAACTGTCAGAGCCGTCATCTGTGGTTTATAAGTAGCAAAACCACCCCCCACCCACTGCACCCACTGGTACATATACTCAACCACAGTCAACACTTGCATACACTGAGGCTGTGAAAGCCACTTGGCAAGTGAGTGGCCTCAGGGAAGGCAAGAGGTCTTGGGATCCTCTTCTATGTGAACATTTTCTGCTGTTTCACTGCAGGACGGCCACAGGATGACTCAGAACAACTGGCTAGGAGGCTGCATGGCTGGGACATACCACGGCAATGGATGGGTCAAGCTCTCCAATGCCCATCCTACAGGGCGGGTGTTGGCAGTGGAAGCTCTCGTCGGGGATAAAGCAGCTGTCCGTCAGCTCCACTGCAGGCTGTGTAGTATGGGGGTCCAGATAGATGAGCTCCTCACCTAGGCAAGATGATACACAAGTCAGAGGCAGCTGACCAGAGCTGGGCAAGGGGGAGGGAGCAGGCGAGAGCAGCATCCAGACCCACCACACCAGAGTCAGCAGACAGACAGACAGGTAGGTAGGAATCAAACTGTCTAGGGGTGAGGGGAGGCAAGTGAGGTACCAACACGCACCACAGAAAAAAATCCATTCCTTCAGGGAGAAAGATCATCCCTATGAACCCAGAGTATGCAAACCAGACTCACCGACGTAGCCAATAAAGTAGTGGGCACTGTTGGGCTTCCCTCCAATAACACCCAGGGACTGGGGCATCATGAAACAGTGCTGCAGGAGACAAGAGGGAAGGAAGGCCACTGAGCACACTGGCCTGGAACAGCACTCAGAAAGGAGTGTTCCCACACAGTGCTACACACTGCAGCACATCAGTCAGATGGGTGTGTCTCACCACCCACAGCCTCTGGAGGCTGGCACAACCTCAGGAAGGCCATGGCCTTCAGAGGCCTCCTGAATGATACAAGAAGAAAAAAGAGAAGACATGTTCCCAGAGAGCCTCCAGTACAGGAGGTACTGCAGCCCACACCACAGGCTTACTGTTCTAGTTGGGAAAACTGAGGAAGGAGAGGTGACGGGACAGGGGACTAGCTTATGCACAGGAACGCTAGACAGGCAGCATCAGACATCAGTCTGGCTCAATGGGACAGGAGCAATGACAACAGAAGACAAATAAAACTGGGAAATCAGTGTGGAAAAGCAGAAGTGATTTCAGAACCTACAGCAGAGGGAGTGGCCAGGGCAGTGAAAAGATACGGAGGGACAGAACAAGACCAAGGTAAGGGAGAGATTTTATACTTGATCTTACCTGAACACTGAAAGGTAATTAAAAGTGAAAGATTTTAATAAAAAACAGCATTGCCATTCCATACAGTAAAGCTCTCAAGTGTGACTCCTTAGTTTATTATCCGAGTAACTGCAGTCTAAAAGGTTTTGCCTCTTGTTTTTGTGATGGGGTAGGAGAAATCAAGGGAGAATATGGATGAAATTCTCAGTAACTCTGTCTGCAGTCTCCATCCAATGGGTCTACCTATCTCCTACGCCAGTGGTTTTCAACCTTCCTAATGCTGTGACCATTTCATACAATCCCTCATATTGTGGTGACTTCCCAATCATAAAATTATTTCATTGCTACTTCTTAACTGTAATTTTGCTACTGTTATAAAGTGTAACAGATATGCAAGACCCCTGTGAAAGGGTTTATTGGATTCCCCTCAAGTGGGTTATGGTCCACAGGTTAAGAACCACTACTTCAGACAGAAGAGGACACTTAAGGCATACATAGGAAGAGCATAGCAGTAACCTGGGAGAGACAGAAGACCCTGATGCCAGGTTCAGCAACAGGGTGACTGGGCTTGAAGACTCTTTATAAAGCTATAGACATTTAAATTCTCGGCATCACCTATAAGATCCAGCCTGACTCTTAGAAGTATAGCTAGTTGACCACAGACTGAAATACATGAAAAAGACTCACCTTCAGGGTTTCCACATAGGCCTCATTGATGTCTGTCAGTCCCAGGCGGAGAGGGATGAGAAGTACTAGTGGTCTCCAAGCCGATGTCCTGTTGGTGACTTCAGCTCCAGCAGGGAACCCATTACAGTGCCTCTCTGAATCAGTAGGAAGTGCGGCAGCCCCAGCACAGGGAAGGCTGGTCCTGCATAACCTTCCTGAAAGGGAAGACATATTTTTCATGAGCTAAGCAGAGACAGACAGAAGTTCTCCCCAAGGAAAAAGAGTGTTTGAAAAACCAGGCACTAAGGGGCTGGAAAGACAGCTCAGTGATTAAGAACACTGGCTACTCTTCCAAAAGACGAAGGTTTGATTCCCAGCATGCACATGGCAACTCACAATTGTCTGTTAACTCCAGTTCCAGGAGATGCAACACCCTCTTCTGGCCTCTGCAGGCACAAGGCACGCAAGTAGTGCATAGACAAACACACAGGCAAAATACCCATACACAAAATAATTTAAAACAAACAATACAACAAAAATCCCAACTGCTTAAAATATAAGTAACTTGGAAAACAAAAATGTTCCTACTCAAAGAAAACTTTTCTAAGAGTTGGAAAGTTGTTCAATGGATAAGAACACAGGCTGCTCTTGCAGAAGACCTGTGTTCAGTCCTCAGCATCCGTGCAGCGGCTCAGAGCCACCCCTAACTCCACGTACAGGAGTTCTAATGCCTTCTTTTGATCTACGTGGGAACCAGAAATGCATGTAGCATACATACGTGCATATAGGCAAAACACATACACATTAAAAACAAAAAAGGAGAGAAGCCTTTTCTACACATAAAGTTTTTAAATATCTGAATGGTTGTTTTGCCTGCATGTACACCTGAGCACCACGTGCAAGCAGTGCTCTCAAGGTCTCGAGTACTGGATCTCCTGGAACTGGAGTTACAGATGATTGTGAAGCACCCCCATAGTTGTGAACCACCATGTGGGAGCTGGCAATTGAACCTGGGTCCTCTGAGGAGTAGCCTAGTACTCTTAACTGCTGAACCATCTCCCCAGCCTGCACTTTAAAATATTTCAAACGGCATGGTGGTACATAGTTTTAATCCTAGCACTAGCAGAGGCAGGGGGATCTCTGTGAGTTTATCTTTACAATGGGCTCAAGTCCTCAAACTCGAGTTGGCCAGAATGGCGGAGCACGTGCCTTTACCCACTGAGCCAAAGCCCTGGCTCCCAGGTGCAGTTTAAAGAAAAAACAAAAGCAGCAGCCATGTAGTCTCTCCAGCTCACTCAGGTTCCTTTTCACCAAGAAACAGCTTTTCTTCACCCTTCGATATTTCTTCTAAGTGTAGGAAGGGCAGCCTTCAATATACATACGATTAGAGTCTGGTGGTGGTCAGACAACTCCAGTATTGTGGAACACATACATGCTGCACATATAGTCAGAAACATGCATGCATATAAATAAAAAAAAATTAAATTTTAAAACAGGAAGAACTCTTCAAAAGAGACTAAAAGTGGCAGTGATTCACTGAACTCTTTCACAGGATCGAACTTTCTAAGAAATAGTCTGGAAATAGCCAGTAGGAAAGATTAGCTAGCTATTTAACATATTTTATTTGCTGTTTGAGACAAGGTTTCTCTGTGTAGCCCTAGCTATCCTGGAACTCACTTTGTAGACCAGCCTGGCCTCTGCCTCCCAAGTGCTGGGATTAAAGGTGTTTCCAAGCCTGGCATTCGTTTTATTTTTATGTGTGCTCTGCCTACACATAAGTGCACCACATTCATGTCTGGTGTCCCTGGAGATCAAAAGAGGGTGTTGGAGGAAATGGAGTTTGTGAACCCCTTAAGTGTGCTGGGAAATGAACTTGGGTCTTCTGCAAGACCCAAGTACGTGCTCTTCACCTCCAAACCGTCTCTGGGCCCCATCTCTCACCCTGTTTATTAATACAGGGTCTTACTGCCTGGCCTGGAACTTTGGATTGGCCTACAGCACACATATACACAAACAGCTGTCCCGATGCTGGAGAGAGCTCCTTTCTTCCCCTTAGCCTAGTCGACACAGTAAGAGAATGGGTTTCCAGATGTTTCACCTAGGCTCCCCCTCACTGCTGGAAGTGCTGGTGTAGCTCCAAGACTCTGACTCTCCAGCTGAGGTTCCCTCTTGGGCTATCCCCTACAACCAAAACCCTGAGCCACTTACTGATCTCCTCCATCACCACAGTGTTGTCCATTGCTATGTGAACAGCCAAGGAGCTCCATGTGTCGAATACAGCAAGTTTCCTACAGAAAGCGAGAACATTCCCATGAGCCTTCTACACCACAGCAGTGACAGCCGAGGCAGTTTCAAAGCTTACGTCAAGGACCTGACCAATGACTCAAGCAGGAAGAAAGCTGAGTGTTGCTCATTGGGGAAATGCCAGCTGCCCTTTGTCAGGAGACAGAGGATGGACAGGAGCCCCTGGGTGGCATAGCGACTCAGGTCTCAGCAGTACGGAGGCAGGTCCAGCTCACTGTTGAGCAGCTTCTCTTCCAGCACCCCACACTGTGAACTGACAGCCCAGAAATCTAACGAACAGCACAACTGAGGCCACCAGTTGGAGGAAGCATGGCTGTAGGTTATGGCTCTGAAAGAAGAGCAGACAGCAGCCATACTGTGTAGAAATGGATGTAAACTGGGTGCTATGGGGTGGGGAGAAGGCCTATCAATCAGTGAGAAGACAGAAAGCAAGAAGAGACATTCCCCAATGGGCACAAGTACCAAGGATCTAAGCAGCAAGGTCCTGGTACGTCTAGGGAGAGAAAAGGCCAATGCCTGGAAGGCTCTAGAACAGCCGTTCTCAACCTTCCTAATGCTGCGACCCTTAATACAGTTCCTCATGCTGTGGTGACCACCAACCACAAAATTATTTTCCTTGTTAATACATAATTATGGTTTTGTTACTGTTATGAATTGTAATGTGAATATCTGGTATCAGTGATGTAACCCTATCCCTGCGAGTAGGAGAGACAGGCAACCATAGATGAGGAAGAGGGATCTAACAACAAAAGCAGAGGAGGCCAGAGACAGGAATAGTAAGCATGGATAAGCAGCCTGACCTGCCATTTCCAGGAAGATGTAAATCCTAAAGTGAAGGGACTGCTCTTTGACAGTGAAGACAGATAAGAAGTAAGGCTAGAGATATGACCAAAGCACTGATGGTGACCTGGTCAGGCTACTTAAGAGCACCGGGATGGCCCCATAAATCACATCTCAAGCTAAAGGTGTGCAGTGATTAAGAAGAGGATCCCCCATACCCCACTCATATGTAGGAATGCTTGGTCCCTACTTGGTAGAACTCTTTGGAAAGGATTAGGAGGTCTGGCCTTGGTGGAGGAAGTGTGCCACTGGAGCAGGCTTTGAGACTCCAAAGGCTCTTCTGTCATTTCCAGTTAGCTCTTGCTCTGCCTCATGCTGGTAGACCAGATGTAATCTCTCAGCTACTGTTCCAGTGCCTGCCGCCATGCTCCTTACCACAAACACTAACACTTTGCACAGTGAGTCCCCAAAATGAAATGTTTTGTTTTTGTTTTTTGTAAGTTGCCTTGGTCATGTTATTCTGTCAGAGCAACAGAAAAGACAGACAAGGCAGGACTTGGACAAGGACACTAAAGGGGATGGAGAGTGTATGCATGCCACAGAAACCAAGCCAAGGACTCACAGCCAGCCATGGTCTGGGATGGCTGGGCATCAGATATGGGAAAAAAGCAAGTGTCTAGATGGAGCCTATAGGAGACGGCCATTGCAGACACAAGGTAGGGTGTCAAGGGAACAACATTCAGGAAAAACTATAGCTAGAGACATATTTGGGAGCTACTAGCTTTCAGCCCAACAGGAAAGGGACCTACATGAGTGAGTCCTGGACATTGGTTCAGAGTATTCTAGAGGCACTGAGATATTAAAGCACAAAGCCACAGGGAGAAGTGATCAGGTCAAAAACAAAACAAACAAACACACACTGCAGGGAGGGAAGCATAGGCAAGGAAGAAATGGCTCAGTGATTGAGAGCACTTGCTGCTTTTGAAGAGGACCCAGGGTTCAGTTCCCAGCACCCACAGAGCAGCTGACAACTAACAGCATCCGTTAACTCCAGCTCCAGGGATCTAACAGTGTCTTCCAGCCTTCCCTACAAGCTTTACATGTATGATGTGCACAGACATATGTGCAGACAAACACTCATACATACAAAAATAAACTTAAAACAAAACACAGAGGGGTAATACACTGACAATTGGCACATCTCCAGAAACAGCCAAAGAGTCATTCTAGAGAAAATTATGGAGCAATGTCCCTCAGAAACATAAGGTTGACTGAACTCCAGACACCGGGGCCACAGAGGACAGGAATAGACAGGCAGACATTCATGAGAAACAAACTTTTAACAGATTCTGAACAACATGGGAAAGCTTATGACCTATGTGGGTGTCTCTGACAAACTCACAGAGGTAGAGGGCTGATACAGTACCATAACTGCCATGGTCCCAGATCTAAGGCACCCCTCATTACAGAAGGATCTGTATACCAAGACAGAGGGCAGGGCCACGCTGAGGGCTCTGACCTAAACACGAATCCCATTCACAGAACAATTAGCATAGTCAACCAGGGGTCTCCCCTGGGTCTATAAGCAAAGAATCAGAATACCTTATTTCCTGTGGCAATAAGTACTCAAGGAGTGGGTAAATGCCAAGGAGAACTCATGCTGACCCCAAGAAGCAGAAGGGCTGGGCTCATTACGTACTTGAGGACCTGGGCAACAGTGTTCGGCCCGTACCACTGGCCTATAGACTTGCCTTCGCCAACTCCCATTTGCGCTGCAGGAAACAGACCCATGTTAGCAAACACATCCATTCCAGGAGAGAGAGTGTGTGTGTATGTGTGTGCACCTCACTTTTGGTACATCAGTAAACACTTCATAGGAAGGTCTAGACAGGACACCTACCCTCCTGAGGAAAGCAAACCAAACCTTCAGGAGGAGCCTGACTTCCACAGACTGTATAGAATCAGTCCCTGCAGGCTGTACAGGGGAAGGACAGGCTTGGGTCTGAACTAGTGCTGGAACACCCAGAGCAGCTCACAGGGGCTAGAGGCTAGAGTAGCCTAGAATCCCATTCTCCAACTCTGCAAGATTTAAAAACTTCCAAGGGAAGCCCAAGGAGTCTGTCTTTTGTACAGAGGCAAGCCTAGGACACAATCCCCACCTATCTGGTGGATGGAATAGTAGCTGTCCTTCCTGTCCAGGAAAGCATTGAGGACATTCAAGTAGCTGTCAGGCTGTCTCTTCCGCTGAGTCCATCTCCAGTCTATTGAGAACAAAACACAGGAGGTAGTTTGACCACGGCATAACTAACACACCTTCCACTTGCACAGTGTTCAATATTCAGATGGTATACAAGACTTTATTTTTGAACCCTTTCTAAGTTAAAAGTCAAATCTGCCAGGGTTTCAAATATATACACACAAAACAAATAGATCTCATCAAAACAAATCTAGGCTGAAAGCAGAAAGCTGTTTCAGCAGTTTAAAGGTAATTTCTAAAAGAATAAACATTCATATCAATATAAATCACAGGCTTGGTGCTTCAGGCCTGTAATCCCAGCTACTTGGGAGGCTAAAGCAAGATGAACTACTGAGTTTTATGTCAACCTGACATACTCTAGAGTCATTTGAAAAGACGGACTATCAGTTAAGAAAATACCTAGACAACACAGACCTATACACAAGTCTTTTGGACATATTCTTCAACAATTAATAATTGTTGTGGGAGAGTTGAGTGATGCCACTCCTGGACAAGGAGTCCTGTACTGTCTAAGAAAGCAGGCTGAGCAAGCCATGAGGAGCAAGCCAGTAAGTAACCAGTGCTTCATGGCTTCTGTTTCAGTCCTGCCTCTAGGTTCATGCCTTGAATTCCTGTCCTTACTTCCCTCCAAGACAAAGTGTGACCTGATTTAAGATAAATAAACCCTTTCCTCCCCAAGTTGCTTTTGGTCATGGTATTTTATCACGGCAATAAAAATCATAACTAAGACACAGGAGAACTACAAGTTCAAGTCCTGCCTGGGCAACCCAGTGAGCTCCTGAATTATAATACTAAGAAAAAAGATTAGAAACAGCACACACATACATGCATGGACGCACACAATTTGTTACTACTGGAGACTGAGCCTACGGTTTTGAGCCTGCTAGACAAGAACCACAAATCTGTGTTTTGCCTATGACATGCTTTTTTATTTTGTTTTTAATTTTTCTGAGACAAGAAAGCTTTGTAGCCTTGGCTGGCCTGGAAATCACTATTTGGAGCAGGCTGGTCTCCAACTCAAAGAAATCGACCTGCTCTGCCTCCCTGGGGTTGGAATTAAAGGCATGTGGCACCATGCCCAGCTTCTATGATGTGCTTTAAATGTTCCTTACTACACAGATCCCATGTAAGCACTGTGACTCACCTCGTCCTAAGTGCCGGCATACCAGGGCCTGGGCAAAGATCATCTGTCCACACCGAAGCATACAACCCCAGCCTGTGTCTGAAGTAGGGCCAGTTCCCCCTGTGTGGAAGACAAAACAAGTAACATTTACAATCAGAGGGCTCAACAGAGGCTGAGCATCCAGCAACAGGAGGCATTTGGACAGCTCCATACCACAGGCACTGACCCTCCTTACACATCTGAACATCTCACACAGCACAACTCTTGAGGATATATGCTGAGGAGTCAAATGTCCTGACATTTCTCTCCAGATGGGCAAAATATGTGAACCATCCATCACATATCCAATAGAAACACCTGGCACGTAAACACGAATCCCCATGATTACTTTAGAAGACACAGAATTAAAATTGGAGAACCATATCCTACTACCAGAAAAGCAAAAATTCAAGAGTTACATGATGTCCACTGTTGTTGGCAGTAAGGACAAGGAAAGTCATTAGCAATGCTAATGCAAGCTCTACATCTTTCAAGCTGAGTTTTGAGTCCCTCCACTGATGTCCACTCCCTGGGGCTTGGAAGACTGACAAGAACTGTGGAGTCAGTTTTAACATGACAGGAACGGGGAGAATGTTCTCAGCAGGTCTTCAGAGAAATGTCATTGTGCAGCTATGAGGAGAAGAGGAACAGCCTACTGTAGTGAGAATTTTGGTTTCTTTAAAAACATAGAAATGTCATGGGAATATGCTTTTGTTTTAATCCCTGGTGGGGTATATGGGGCTTCTCCAGATTGTCCATAGCAGCTGACTATGATTTGCCTCATGCTCTAGCAGGGGTGTAATTTTGCCAGCTGAAGATAGTTTAGGCAAGTGTATGATGTTTGGAATTCAGGGGACTTTTCAGAGAACACATAAACACTAGAGCCACATAGAAGGGCTGATTGGCCAGCTGGCTGCTGTTTATCAAGTAGTTGTGTGCAAAGAGACAAGAAAAAACTAGATATCCCGATGGTGAAGATCAAACTTGCCCCAAGGAACTTGACACCCAACAATATCAATGCCCCCATTCCCCTCTAGCCTTCTTCCTCCTCTACCTAGAGGAAGGAGTGGGGGTTGGAAGGGATAAGAGTGGAAAAGGTTGGTGGAAATAGGAACCCACAAAGTAGACAAAAGTCCATTTACAGCCTATGTAGCAATAAGAGACAGAGATGTGACGTGAACAGTAAACAAGGAACTCGGACATTTTCTATTGCTGTACCTGTCACCACTCTCATCCCAAATCCCTACAATACTCAAGGAGTATGCCGGCCACGCTTGGTTCTTAGGACCATAATGAGCTGCTTTAACTATAGCAGGTTAGCTTTGCCAACATGACACAATCTGCAATCAACTGGTATGGTGGTTTGAGTGAGAATGGGCCCCACTGGCACATATGTTTAATACTTGATCCTCAGTTGGTGGAAGTGTTTGGGAAGATTAGAAAGTGAGGCCTTGTTGGAAGAAGTGCATTACTGTGGGCAGGGCTTGAGGTTTCAAAAGCCCATGACATTCTCAGTTAGCTCTCTCTGCCTCCTACTAGCAGACTGAGATATGAGTCCCCAGCTACTGCTCCAGTGCCAGGCCTGTGCCTCCTGGCATGATGGTCATAGACTCTACCCATTTGGAACCATGGACCCCAAATTAAATCCTTGGGAGGGGGGTGTCCCTGCAAGCATCAAGCCAGACAGGGAAACTGAACTGCAAAGAGCTGAGAATGAAAACTCAATTGAGCCCATCTTAGACTAGATCAAACTTTTATTGCCAGTATATTTAAACACAGTACAGTCTGGGGAAAAGGTTCCAGGCAAGAATCATTCCAATTCCAGGTCACAATAAAGCTTAATCGAAACTCCTTTGCAAAGTACATGTGATCATAATGATGGGTACAAACTATTGCTTAAAAGCCTAGAATCTAGTCCTGTCTCTAAGATACCACAGAGATCAGTAGGCCATAAAATACATGTGACATCTCCCCTAAGGATGAGTTCTATGGACTGGGAGCTAAAAATAAAGGTCTAGGGAGGGAGAGTCTGGGATAAACGTCTGGGGGAGTTGACTGAAGTCTGCCTCTACAGATAGGTCAGCAGGTCAACAATATCCACACCCAGCTTTCTGGATGGAAAAAGCATTTTATTTCCTCCACTGAGGAAATGCCCCTGTGTGTTTAACCTTAAACCTTCCTGGTTTCCTTAGTGTTCTGTGGTGCAACATTCTTTTCTAAGTTACCTCAGTTGTGGTGTTTTTGTCACAGCAATCAAAAAAGTAACTAAGCCACTCAGGAAGAGATTCAATGAGGGTTTGTGTCTTAGTCACAGTTCCATTGCTATGATGAAACACCATGAGCAAGGCAACTTCTAAAAAGAAGCATTTAACTGCAGTCTTGCTTATAGTTTCAGAGGGTTAGTTTATGAACACCATGGTGGAGAGCAAGGTGGCAGACAGACAGGCATGCCACTGGAGCAGCAGCTGGGCGCTCACATCTGATCCAAAAATTGTAGAGGGAAAGGAGAGAGAAAGACAGAGACAGGCTAACTGACTAAGCCTGGCCTGGGCTTTGGAAACCTCCGAGTCCACACCCATTCATACATCTTCAAACAGTCTCACTAGCTGGGGACTAAGCATTCAATTAAATGAGACTACAGGGCCATTCTTTTTTGTTTGTGCGGGGAGACATTCTTATTTAAAGCAACACAGATCTTCTAGATTAGGTTGTCCTTTGGGCATGTCTGTGAGGAATTGTCTTTATTACACTAATTGATGTTAGAAAACCCAGCTTGAAAGAGGTCCCAGTCCCTGGGTTTGGGTCCTAGACTGTACTAACAGAAAGTGAGCTGAGCACAGGCATTCACAGATACACTGACGCATTCCTCTCTGCTTCCTAACTTTGGATGCACTGTGTTCAGCTGTCTTTAGTTCCTACTGCTGTGAATTCCCAACAAAGATGGACTATAATCTGAGTTGTGAGTTAAAATAAACCCTTTCTCCCTGACTATGCTTTTGTCAGGGCATTTTATCACAGCAACAGAAACAAAACAGAGACCTTTCCTCATGGATGTTCATGGCTGGCCACACAATGAAGGCTTCTCTGTAGCCCTGGTGTCCTAGCCAACATCCTGCCAGTCACTATTTACCATGGTCTTCCAGTTTTGTAACTTTTTAAAAAAAATCTTCATTTTTAATGGTGGTTCTTAAAGACTTTAACCTTCCTTGTAACCCACCACCCACCAGAGGTAGTGGTAAAGAAAGGAAAGAGGGAAGTGGACCTGTGTTGTCTGGAAATTAGCAGTTCATTCACAGGTTAGTAGGCAGCAGCTACTTAATCTATTCATCAACACCTCACAGATACACCAGCAGTCTAGTTCGGTAGAGTCAGGTTAGCAACAGCAGTGACACACCTAGCAGAGGCAACCAGGCCTCCACCTCAGCTGGAGTCGGCAAGAGGGACCAGGAGGAATGCCAAGAGAAGTTCTCAGCTGCGCTTCTCTCAGGGAAGAGAAGATCAGCAAAGACACAAGCCCCACAAGCGCAGCACAGCTAGCTATACCAGCAAGCCAAGCTCTGTGTCCGTCACTCATTCCGTGGAGTCCTATTTATACCCTCCAGACATCTCAGCACAGGTCTTGTCTCAGCACGTGCATCTAATCACCTGAGTCCTTGGAAGCGGTCACAAACTGCAGCACACCACCATAAGTTTTTGGTTCCTTTCTCTCTATGGTGTCCCAACATATGTAGCTCAACTACGCAATGTAAGGCGGACCAATATTTGTGTGTCATTAACAAAGAATCTTTTATTATGTGTCCTTTCACATGCTTGCTTTAGCAGAACATCCTCTCTCCTGCGTCTGCTTCAGAGAAATATTCCTTCACAAGTCTGCCTTAGCTTTTCTCACCTGTGTTCACTTTAACAAAACATTCCTCCACGTGTTTGCCTCAATAGCATCCAACTGACTTTCCAAAGAACCCTTAAGTTTCCAGTTCACAGTTTAGTTTCCATTGCTGTGATAATACCATGATCAAAAATAAAATTTGGAAATGGCATATTGGCTTACACAGCCTGATCACAGCATATCACTGAGGGAAGCCAAGGCAGGAAATGAAATAGGACAGGCACCTGGGGGCAGAAGCTGAAGCAGAGGCCCTGAAAGAACACTGCTGACTAACTTACTTCCATAGCTTGCTCAGCTTGTTTGTTTTTTAAACAAAACCCAGACCTACTGTTCAGAGGTAGTACCAGGCACAGCAGGATACCCCACCCCCATCCCCACCCGTCATTAATCAAGAAAATGCTCATACCTACAGGCAACAGTGATGGAGGCATTTTCTAAATGAAAGCTCTTTTTTCCCAGAAGACTCAAGCTTGTGTTAAGTTTTACAAAAGAAAAACAAAAAAACCTAACCAGCACAGAACCAGTCTCAAAAACAATCACACAACCAAACAACAACAACAAAATTATTGTCATGATTCTTAATCCAGTGACACCTTGCTGACATGGAAAGAGAAAGCATGTACTTCATTACGTGTTGTAGAAAAGTGGGATTCTCAAGCTGAGGAGACAGCTCAGTGAGTAAAGAGTTTGACATGCCAGTGCAAGGACAGAGTGAGTTCAACCCCTAGAACCTACATAAAGCTTAATGCAGCAGCACACTTCTGAATCCCAGAGCTCCTGCAGGGAGATGGGAGGAAGAGACGGGGAAATCCCTGGAAGCTCACAGTCCAGACTAACATACACAGTGATGAGTAAGAGACCTTGTCTCAAACAACGGGGAAAGCAAGGACTGAAGCCCTAGATTGTCCTTTGACCTCCATTCATTTGCCCGTACCCCCATTTCACAAGACACAGACAGAGATTAAAAACAAATAAATGAACCAAAACATTTGAAAGATTTAAGATTACTCACCAATGGCTGGAAAGTTTCTCCTGTATGTAAACCAAAGTCTGGATGCAACATCAGACAAGATTTCGTCCTTCTCTAGTTATTTAAAAGGGAAGACAAGCACAAAGTGAGAGGCAGCAGACAACTGCCATCTCAAGACTTCTGCAGAAGTAATTTGAGGCAAGAGGATAATACCTGTGAAAATGCTGTATTTTCTGCCCAGAATCCAAACAGGCTCTGAGGTCTCGGGGAAATCTTCAAATTCAGCAAACCGGAGAGTATCATATGTCAAAGTGGCTGTGGAAACCATAGAAACACATTTGTCTGATTTCACATGGAGACCATTGTATGTTGGGGATTGGTTCTAATCCTTTGAATTGATTCGGTTCCCTAATCAGGAATCCAGATGCTGAAAGTCCTTTCATCCAATTGGTTTTTGGTCGATCAATAAAGATGCCAGTGACCAATGGCTGGGCAAAAGGAGATGGGGTGGGACCCTTAGATTTGAGCAGGCTTGGAAGCACGGGAAAGGAGAAACAGAATCACCACGACTGGGGGAGGGGGTCAGATTTAGAGCTGCAGAGGGAAGATAATCCAAAATGTAGGAGAAAAGAGAAGCTTTCCCTCTCATAAGGGCTGCCCTGAGCATCTGGGGCAGCAAAGATCAACGGGCCTCACAGACGGTAACAGGACAGCAAAGTTAAAGGTAGAAGGTGTTGAGCCAGGAGTGCCAGATGGAAAAGCATGCTAGCCGCAGGAGGATTATAACTGCCCAGCCTTTGAGTAGCCAAGGCATTTCAAAAATAAGCTAATGTGTGTGTCTATTTCATTTGAGGATCTAAAGAGTTCCTAGGCAGGTGGCTGGAAGTGCGTGGCCCATCTGGAGCACAAAGCGGTGTAGCCCCACTCCACACTACAAGCATACCATTTCTCCACTAAAGATTTGTACAGCACCTGCATTTTTGCTTTTTCCTAATAGTCACATAAGCAAATATATGAGCACACATGACAGTCTGTGAAGTAGTTGCTCTGATCAAAGTTAGGGACAGAAGTCTGACAGCTGACAAGATAGGACAAAACCTTAGGTTGGGGTCAACGTAAGGAAACAGGAGCAAAAGACTCCCCCTCAAAGAAAAAAAAGTAAGCTCTTGGATATTTGAGACTTGAAAAAAATGTTTTTTTCGGGGGCTGGAGAGATGGCTCAGCAGTTAAGAGCACTGACTGCTCTTCCAGAGTTCCTGAGTTCAATTCCCAGCAACCACATGGTGGCTCACAACCATCCGTAATGGGATTCGATGCCCTCTTCTGGTGTGTCTGAAGATAGCTACAGTATACTCATAAATCAAATAAATCTTTAAAAAAAAAAAACAACTTGAAACAAACAAGGTTAATTTAAAAAAAAATGTTTTTTTCTTTACCATACAGAGTTTCTACATACCTATCTTGGAATGTAGACCAAGCTGGTCACACAGTCACAGAGAGCCACCTGCATCTGTCTCCCAGGCACTAAAATCAAAGCTATACATGCCACCACCACCCAGCTTTATTTTAATTTTTTTTTGAGCTAGGGTCTCATGTGTCCTAGGTCTTGAACTTGGAATGTAGCCAACAATGACCTTAAACTCCTGATCCTTCTGCCTCTACCTCTTGAGTGCGGGGATTAGTCATATACCACCACTCCAGTTTATGTAAGACCAGGAACTGAACTTCATACTGGTTCCATGTATTCTAGATAAGCACTTACCAACTAAGCTACATCCCCCAAAACAAGGTGCCTTCTAGGATTCCCCTAACCACCTGCTGTACACCATGAACACAAATACCCAGTGCACTCAGCGTCCATGCTGAGGACAGAACATGGCATAGGTGGGCACTACCTGGTGGCCAGAGTTTAAATCTAGCTAGGGCAGTCACAAGCTACAGGTTCTTGGGCCATCTATATAACTTTTGAGTATAAACAATCGCTCATCCATAAAAGTGTAATAACAGGGCTGGTTTGCCACACAGCAATGACGCCTTCATGACAGATTTCTCACGAGGCACCGCAGGCAGACAGAAGGACATCTTGCAGAATCACAGAGTTGAAAGCATATACATTTCACTATGCCCACAAAGCTTCACTGGGTATAGGCTGAGAAGTACTGGAATATATCCCAGAAATGCAGGCCACACTGACAAGTCCTCAGCAACAGAGCACTGCTGAGGCTTTCTGGGTAGGGCAGGACCAGGCCCGGCAGGCCTTGTCTCAGACCTTTGCTCCCCCATGTTTTAGCTGTCTATTTTCAAGACAATGTCAACAACCTGCTTAGTGATCCTAAGCCCAACTTAATTTCTCTCTCCTTCTCTCCCTCTTTTTTTTTTTTTACATATGTACATGATGCTAAAGGCTAAGTTATGATAAATTAACACTCATGTTCATGTTTTCAAGGAGCCAAAAACCATCGTGTGTCCCCAATGTCTAAAGCAGCAAAACACAGCGTAGGCAAATTTCTTAGATTTATTAGCAAACTTTATAGGTAAGGAAGCCAACTTCAAAGTGAAAACAGTAAGTAAGGCTCTATTAAATTCAAATATATTACCATGTCTTCTATCATAACCATGAAAATTACAGGTTATGCAGCTTGACAAACCAAAAGCCAGGCTGGGTGTGAAGAAACCAGACAGGGACAGAATTAAAAAGAGGCAATCACAACTCCCCTCAACTTCACCGCAGCCAAGAAGGATGGGAGTAGGAGCTATATCTACCCCACTCTTGAGGGCATTCCTAGCAGGGTGGTGTGAAAATCGAGAGCCCTGATGTAGAACCAGGGGTCTAAGGCCACCAAACACTAGCTTGTGATCCCCTTAATTTGGCGTCTTTTCTGCATCTCCACTTCCTCACTGGTAAAGTGGCAACAGATACATTCCTCGCTGGGCTGAAGAGTAAGGGTTCTAGAACTCTGAATCATCCTGGGAACGACATAAGCACACTTTCACATGGCTAGCCTGCTCCAAACCTTGAAATGAAGTGTGTAAAGAAATCCATTCTGGGGCTGGAGAGATGGCTCAATGGTTAACAGCACCAACTGCTCTTCCAGAGGTCCTGAGTTCAATTCCCAGCAGCCACATGGTGGCTCACAACCATCTATAATGGGGTCTGATGCCCTCTTCTGGTGTGTCTGAAGACAGTGACAGTGTATTCACATATATAAAATAAATAAATCTTTAAAAAAAAAGAAAAAAGAAAAATCTATTCTGCTTATAAATGAAAACGAAACAATGTACAGAAATATCAAAGCAAATGTGTGAGTTTCTTCACCAAAAGAGATTCTAACACAATAAACTTTCCTCAAGAAAAACATACAGTCCTGATGTTGGGGCAGAGACAGGTGGGTATCTGAGTTCCAGGCCAGCCAGGCATACACAATAAGACTCTGTCTAAGATAGGATAGAAAAGAAAACAAGTCCACGTGCACATACACAAACAAACAAACACACACACACACACACACACACACACACACACGGGGGGGGGGGGGGGGGCAGTTGCAACTGACTCCTAACTGCATTTAGAGCAGAAGGTGGCTATGCTACCTTTGACCTTTCACCTTGGAGAATTGGCACTTAAGGCTCCATGGCCTCAAAGATTTCAATTAGCATCCTTTTGTTGTTGCAGGCATCCCACTAGTTTAGAAGACAGGAAGAAAAGAGATGCTACCATTCCCACAATACTGCACCTTGCCTGGGCATACCCATAGTGTCAAGTGAAACAAACAAACAAGCACATGACTGAGGTGACATTCACAAAGCATCATCCAGGCAAAGCAGATGCAGAAGAGCCACTCCTGACCTTCTGGGTCTACTTTAAGTGAAAAAGGTAGAACCTTTTCAAACTCAGGCTCTAATGATGACTGAGATTTAGAGACAGCCCATACGTGGAGCCATACAGCAACATGCCACACTTCTCTAAGCTTCAGTCATCCCACTTAAGAAATGGCACCACATGCTCTGTCCAAGGGGATGAAAACCCACAAGTGCAAACTCTAAGCTCAAAATCACTAACACGTGTTCAACAGAAGAGGTCTCTGAGCACCAACTGACCTCCACACTTCTCCAGAGGTTCCAGAGGTTCTTTAGTCCAACTGCAATGTCGTTACAGTCTCTTTATAACCCAACAAACATTTACAAAGCGTCATGAATGGCTCCTGAGACAGAGAGGTAAACCTTAAAGAGAAAACAGTTTGCAAACCCCCAAGCAACTAGTTAAATTTGCCATTAGATTACATGCAAAAGAAATAAGGTGTCTAAAGACCCTCTGTCCTAAGAAACTTATTTGGTCAAGCAGCCTAGGTGTCTGACTTCCCCACACTCTTATTGGAACTTCTGTGATCACAACTGCAAGAAAAAAATGAAAAGTGTTTTATAATATGACACTTTAGTACTATGATTTAATAGTTTATCTGACAGTCAGAAAAACAGGAAATTATGCTCAATGAATGTAACTAACCTTTTTACTTAACCACAAATTACACTGTCATTCAAGCAGGAGGAATCACAAAAAACATGCAGCCCTAGATCTCTTTTAAAGATTCCAGCAATATTTTGTTTGCATTACATTCTTACATTTTTTAAGCTAAGAATGATGGCCCAGGCCTGTACTTCCAATACTTGAGAGTCTGAAGGAGGAGGATCATGAGTTTGAGGTCAGCTTGGGATATACAGCAAGTCTCTAGAAGGATTCATTTCCTTTGAAAAAGTCTCATGATTAAGATAATGGTTTTCAGGGGCTGGAGCAATGGCTCAGCTGAGAGTACTGACTGCTCTTCCAGAGGTCCTGAGTTCAATTCCCAGCAATCACATGGTAGCTCACAACCATCTGTAATGAGATCTGATGCTCCCTTCTGGTGTCTCTGAAGACAGCTACAGTGTACTCACATGCATTCAATAAATAAATCTTTAAAAAAAAAAAAAAAAAGATAATGGTTTTCGGGGCTGGAGAGATGGCTTAAGATAAGAGCACTGACTGCTCTTCCAGAGGTCTTGAGTTCAATTCCCAGCAACCACATGGTGGCTCACAACCATCTGCAATGGGATCCAATGCCTTCTTCTGTCTGATGTGTCTGAAGACAGCTACAGCTTACTCATATAATTTTTTTTAAAGATCCATAGAGCTTGAATCATTGCAAAAAAAAATGATAATGGTTTTCATGTAGAAGAAATTAAACTTTTTAGCTGCCACAAAGCTAGAAAGCTCCATGTTAGTGTACTTTAGTATACATACTAGACAGAATGTCTTCATCAAAATCCAGTGCTATGAG